TGCAGCAGCAGAAGCTGCAGCAGCAGAAGCTACAGCAACAGAAGCTGCAGCAGCAGAGGCTGCAGCAGAAGCAGCAGCAGCAGCAGCAGCAGCAGAGGCTGCAGTAGCGAACGCAGCAGCAGCAGAAGCTACGGCAGCAGCAGCAGCAGATGAATCAGCAGCAAAAGAGACATCCACTGCAGCGGGAGATGCCGCTGCTGCTGCAGCAGCTGCAGCAGCGCCGGCAGCAACAGCAGCAGCAGCTGCTGCACAGGCAGCAACAGAGGACGCTGCAGCAGCGGATGATGCAGCAGCAGCAGCAGCAGCAACAGCAGCTGCAGAAACATCAGCAGCAGCAACAGCAGCAGCAGAAACATCAGCAGCAGCAACATCAGTGGATGCAGTTGAAGCCGCCTCAGCAGCTGCAGCAGCACCAGCTGTTGCAGCAGCAGCAGCAGCTGAAGCTGCTGCAGCTGCTGCTGCCGACGCAGCAGCAGCAAACGCAGCACGCGAAGCAGATGCTGCTGCAGTGGAGTGGCTAACAAACAGCGCATACAAATTGGGCTGCACACAAGCAGCAGCAGCAGCAGCAGCAACAGCAGCAACAGCAGCAGCTGCTGCAGCAGAGGCACCAACAGCAGCAGCAACAGCAGCAGCAGCTGAACGAGGTGCATCGACTCCCGCTGCAGCAGACGTTGCAGGCGCTGAGGCTGCAGCACCAGAGGCAGCAACAGCAGCAACTGCAGCAGCAGCAACAGCAACAACTGCAGCAGCAGCAACAGCAACAACTGCAGCAACTGCAGCAGCAGCAACAGCAGCAGGACCAGCAGAGGGGCTGGTGGTCAGCGCCACAGCACTTCGCAGGTTCGAGGCTGCTGCCATGCAGCAGCAACAGCAGCAGCAGCAGCAGCAGCTGCAGCAGCAGCCGCAGCAGCAGGATCAACGACAGCAGGAACAAAGGGAGGAGAAGCGGCAGCAGCAGCAGCAGCAACAGCATGAACAGCAGCAGACGGCCGACGAAGCTGCGCAGCAAATTACCCTACAGAGCAGCAGCAGCAGCAGCACTGGCAGCAGCAGCAGCAGCAGCAGCAGCAGCAAGGTTGCTGCTGCTGCTCTCATAACAACTCGCTGCACTACAACCTGCAGCAGCGGCTACGACGCAGCAGATGCCTTTCCGTCTTCATGTGAATCTGTTGCTGCTGCTGCTGCTGATGCAGCAGCTGGCTGCGCACCACAGCAGCAGCTGCCGCAGCAACAGCTGCAGCAGCAGCTGCATCAGCCGTCGCAGCGAGAAACGCAGCAACAGCAGCAGCAGCAGCAGCAGCAGCAGCAGCAGCAAGGTCCTTGTGCTGCTGCTGCTGGACCTACAAACGACCTGCTGCCTCGTATCCGCCTTTTGCTGCTGCAGTCTGCTGCACACGACAGGCAGCAGCGGAAGCAGCAGCAGCAGCAGCAGCAACAGCAACAGCAGCAGCAGCACGGAGAGGAGCTGCTGCCGCTGCGTATTCTGCTGCAGACATTTTCTAAGGCAGCAGAATCCATCGTGCGCATGCAGAAGCAGCAGCTGCAGCAGCAGCAGCAGCAGCAGCAGCAGCAACTGGAGCTCCAGCAGCACGTTGCTGTTCTTGCTGCTGCTGTTTCTCGCGTCCATAAGACATACACAGCAGCAGCAAGAGCAGCAGCAGCAGCAACAACAGCAGCAGCAGCACGACCCGACAAACCAGAGACAAGTAAGCAGCAAAACCATATCTGCAGCAGCAACAGGTGCAGCAGTAGCAGCCGCAGTACCACTTGTTGCAGCACCGGTTGCAACACCAGCAGCAGCAGCAGCAGCAGCAGCAGCAGCAGCAGCAGCAGCAGCAGCAGCAGCTTGTTGTGTGTGTTGCGGTGTATGTACAGGTGAGCAGCTGCTGCCGTTTGACGTCGCGCTGCAAATTGCTGCTGCATTTTGGGGAGCCCTCAGCAACGCGGTACAAATGTCGTCGCTGCAGCAGCAGCAGCAGCAGCAGCAGCAGCAGCAGCAGCAGCAGCAGCAGGTGCTGCAGCAGCAGCGGCAGGAAGTGCTGCTGCAGCAGCAGCAGCAGCAGCAAGTGCTGCAGCAGCAGCTGCTGCAGCAGCAAAAAGTGCAGCAACACAAGCACATCTTGCAGCAGCAACAGCAGCAACTGCAGCATTGGAGAAGCGCTGCTACCGCAGCTGCTGCAGCAGCTGCTGCTCTCCCTGCAGCAGAAACTCCAGCTCAGGAGAGTGAGAAACAGCAGCAGCAGCAGCAGCAGCAGCAGCAGCAGCAGAAGCTGCAGCATCTAGGAGTACGCAGAAACCGAGAAGCAGCAGGGGCAGTCTTGGTATTCGATGCAAAAACATTTGAACTGGTTAGAGTGCTGCAGCAGCAGAAGCAGCAGCAGCAGCAGCAGCAGCAGCAGCAGCAGAAGCAGCAGCAGCAGCAGCAACAGGTGCAGCAGCAGCAGCAGCAGCAGCAGACTCCAGGAGAAACGAAGCAGCTCCCGACGCTGCAGGATTGCTGGCTGGCAAGCAGCGCACACCGGGCGAGCTGGGCACGGAGGCAGCAGCAGCAGCAGCAGCAGCAGCAGCAGCAGCAGCAGCAACAGCAGCAGCAGCAGCAGCAGCAGNCAGCAGCAGCAGCAGCAGCAGCAGCAGCAGCAGCAGCAACAGCAGCAGCAGCAGCAGCAGCAGCAGCAACGGCGGCGACGACAGCAGCAGCTGTGGCAGCAGCAGCAGCAGCAGCACGTGCTGCTGCAGCCGTTGCCGGAGGCTCCGAGGGCTAGCAGCAGGAAAGGAGCGCGAGGACGGAACAGCAGCAGCAGCAGCAGCAGCAGCAGCAGCAGCAGCAGCACCAACTGGCGAGGCATTCAGTACAGCAGCAACAGCAGCAATAGCAACGGCAGCAGCAGCAACAAAAACAGCAGCAACAGCAGCAGCAACGCAGAGCGCCGCTATCATCAACAATTGCAGCGGCCGAAGTCTGCTGGCCATGCTGCTGCTGCTGCTGCTGCTGCTGGCAGCAGCAGCAGCAGCAGTTCTCGTCCTGTTAGGAATTTGCTGCGGCCGTCATCTGCTGCTGCAGCAGTTGTTGCTGCTGCTGCTGCAGCTGCTGCGGACGTGGCTGCAGCTACTGCTGCAGCAGAAGAAGCAGCAGCTTTAGCTGAGGCGGAGAAGGCAGCCGCCGAGGCAGAAGCAGCAGCAGCAGCAGCAGCAGCAGCAGCAGCAGCGGGAGAAGCAACAACATTCTCGTCGCTTAGTGCTGCTCTGGTGTCTCCGTCGTCGCTGACCCTCAGCCCCGACAGCTCTGCTGCTTCTGCTGCTTCTCTGTGCAGCAGCAGACGAGCAGCAACATACAAAGCGTTTGCTGCTGCTGCTGCTGCTGCTGATGATGATGATGCATACAGCAGCAGCAGCAGCCCCGCAGGAGCTACCGCCCGAGTGCCTCGGCAATGCCTGAAAATGCGGATCCGCACAGAGCAGACAGCAGCAGCAGCAGCAGCAACAGCAGCAACAGCAGCAGCAGCAGCAGCAGCAGCACACGATCTAGCTGAGGCTGAGCCGTGGGGCGCGACTCTAAAAAGGGAGTATCCATTGCAGCAGCAGCAGCAGCAGCAGCAGCAGAAGCTGCACGAGCCGCAGCAGCTGTTGTATCAGCAGCAGCAGCTGCTGCAGCAGCAGCAGCAACTGCAGCAGCCGCGGCAGCAGCAGAAGCAGCGAACACGTTCATGTACATGCAGCTGCAGCAACAGCAGCAAACTGGCAGTGGCAGTTGATGCTGGTCCACGCTGGCCTTCAGGTTCGTCTCCTGCTGCTGCTGCTCCTGCTGCTGCTGCTGCTGCTGCTGCTGCTGATGCTGCTGCGCGCCCCCATCCCGGGCTGCTGCAGCGCCGAGGACGATCGCCAGCAGCAGCAGCTGCTGCTGTGGCTCCAGCAGCACTCACAAAGCCGCTCACATTCTCACCAACAGTGCAGCAACAGCAGCAGCAGCAGCACCTGCAGCAGCAGCTGCTGCAACAGCAGCAACTGCAGCAGCTGCAACTGCAGCAGCAGCAGCAGCAGCAGCAGTGCTTCGCTGGTCTCCGGCAGCGCAGCTGCATTGGGCGAAATCCAGCAGCAGCAATGGCAGCAGCACCAGCAGCAGCAGCAGGAGCAGCAGCAGCAGCAGCAACTGCAGCAGCAGTGCAGCACAACCGAGAAGGCTGCAGCGGCGTCTGTATACAGCGCCTTGCTGGCTGCAGCAGCAGCAGCAGCAGCAGCAGCAGAAGCAGAAGCAGCAGTCTGCGGCGGTTTTGCTGCCAGCAGCAGCAACATTCCGCTGAGGCGCTGCACTGCTTGTCTATGAAGCCTGCAGCAGCAGCAGAAGCAGCATACGATGCTGCTGCAACAGCGGCACCCATGTTCGCTGCCTGTGGCCGCAGACATCCCAACAGCAGCAGCAGCATT